CCCCTTTTATTTATCATGGGGATTATGCTTTGATTTATGCTACTTTGGTATTTTCTAGCTAGTGATGTCAAAGCGTCTTGCCCAGATAAGCAGCTTTTGTCTCTGGACTTTACATAACAAGGTTAATCCCAAATGCACTCTTAGAAGACAGCATCCCTCCTATTCCCTAGGTCATATTTTATGTAAAGATAGTGTAATTTTGGAAAACTTGGTGTGGGGTAGGAAGTAGAATTTTGGAAGAAGTAAAGAAAATAGCAGCGGGAAACCCAGAGATCACAGCTGTAAAGAACTGCATTGTTTGGAATGTTCATACTTAGTTTAAATAATTTGCTTTTTGTTGCCTTGGTCAAGATCATAAAAACTCCTGCCCTGTTCCTCATTAGTAGGGAAAAGGCAAAGGGCCTTTAGTAATATGATGTGGACTCTTCTTCCTTTAGGGTTTTGGTAGTTGTCTCTCATGGTACAAAAAGGAATCAAACTATTTCTTCTTAAAAAAAAAAACACCTTTTTTTGGTGTGTGTTCAGGACAGAGAAATTTTCTGTTTATTTTTCTTGACATGCTGGGTATGCTTTGCTGATGCTTTAAAATATTTCTGTGCCAGCATTTACTTCTAAGCTACCATTTCTTCTACAAAGCCAAGCTGCTTAAACTTTGGGGCAGTGATTCTGCTTTATTTTCTCCTGTCCAGTCAGTTACAAGTGCACTCTGAAACTTCCCAGCAGTTGCTGCTTTTGTAAGTCTCCTTTTCTGTTCTACCCTCCTCCATGTAGATTCTCAGGTTTATAAAGAGGCTTGAGTCATGTTGCATCCTTCCCTTCTCCATCTTTCCCCACAAGGACCAAGACCCTGTGCATCTCCTTGGGACTGAGTATCTGCTGTTGGGTAAAGGCCAACAGATTTCAGTCTTCCCTAGGCCCTTACAGCCAGAATAATTTTCCATGCCTTGCACCCTCAGGGAAGAAGTTCATTTTACTGACCCTTTGGCTAAAGCTTGGCTTCTTAATACTGCTTCAGATCCCTGTTGTGGCAGGTGCACCACAGACTGAACCAGATGAGAAGGTTACAGCAGTAAGAATGTGGTGAAAATCAGGTTGAGAAATTTGCATGAGAGAACGGTGAAGCAGCGTGGGATGTTAACCTGATACTCACATAGCTGACAGACTTGCTGCCAGGTCTACCAAGAAGTGCATGTCGTGGGCAAGGGTGAAGGCTGGAACAACAGTGGAAAAGGTGAGGCAGTGGTGGAGGGAGATGGCTGCTGTCAGAAGTCATGGAGTGAGGCAGAGGTCAGGTGATGAGGCAGGGCCTGCAGAAGCTTGCCTGGCTGGGCAAGTTGAGGTTCTTCCTAAGATCTTGAATAATAGAAGTCTTGTAGATGTGAAACCTACCTTTTGGGTGAGAGTGTGTATGTGTGACAGTCTTCCCTATCACACTCACCTTCTCCGTTCTGCACCATTTTCAATTCTGAGAATCATGCAGAACTCAACTGAGTTTTTTTAGCAGCAAAATATTCAGAAGCAGAAGTCACTGTCATGGGAAGAAGATGAAAGATACATTCTCTGAGCTGCTGCTGCCATGCCCATCTTCCTTGACACTGTTTAAAAGATTCCATCCCAGACAGTTCTTGTGGGCAGTGCAATCCTTTGTTACTTATTTCCTTTAGAGTTGTCTTGAGCTTCACTCTTTTGCCCCCACAAAAGTGATGCCCCCATCACTTTGCAGAGATGAAAAGCTGAGGAAATATTGATAAATGCCACTTTGACTTGGTTGTATCTTACCCCATGGAACTAAGGTATCTCATGCTGCACAGCTGAGCATTGCAGAGCAGAGCTAAGCTCTGCAGAGCTGAGCTGGGTTACTATTTTGGTAACAGGTCAATATTCAGTGTGGTTGAACTTGGGCAGGTTGTGCTGTTTGGATGTACTTGGTGTTTCATGCTGCAGGAATGTATCATTCCCAGTCATCCTCTGCAGCAGGAAAAACTGAGCGAGCTCTACACGCAGGGGAAGAGCAGAGGTTGGAAAGGCTGAAGTGACTTGACCTGGGATCACCTGCTGAACCTTTCCTGGCGTGGGCAAGGGCCTTGATGGCTGGTGGAGCTCTGATGTCCTTCCATGTGTTGTACACCTTCCTCTTAGTCTTTGCCGTGTGTATTTAGAAACAAGTTTCCAAAATTCTGGTTCAACACTCAAGGCTGGGACCTCCACTGTCATTTGAGGACTCTGTGGAATGGCTGGATTTTATGTCATAGTGGGTTTTCCTGAAGGCATGAGATCCTGGGCACACTTGAGAATTCTCCAGTTTGCACTTGGTTATATTTCAAGCTGTAGGGTGATGAGTTTTTGAGGACCTGCTTCTTAAAATTATTGGCAAGCATCCATCTACCTAGTTCCATCTCCGGACAAAATTAATCAAAACTACTGCCCAGTGCAGAGATTGAGATTTATTTGCCTATTGGCAACAGGTGTTTTTTTCTCCCTGCCTGTTCAATTTCAGTCCTAAATTGTGCTTCAGGAGTATGACTGATGTAGTGTTGTCTGAGGGACGAGCAGGACACTGTGCTGAGGGGTCTAAGGAAGCCTCTTGAGAGCCCTTTGGGGCAGCCTGAAGAACAAACATCATTACCACCCAACTTGAGAGGCACCGTGTTCATGGTGGCAGTTGCTCCCATGGCAGTGTGCTGGCCACTGGTGCCATCTTCCTCTCAGGCACTGAACACCAGGGCTGACATCACTTGTGTTCACTTTACTCTCCATTCGTGGGCTGCTCTAGGGGTGACAGTGAGGAATCTGCATTTGGCCTGCTTAGGAAGCTGCTGCCTGTTCCCTGGTTGGTCGGTGCTGGAATATCTGCCGGTAGGTGGCAATGCTGTCCAGCTGGAATGTCACAGAAATCTTTTTTTTTTTTTTTTAACCTTTGGACATTGGCTGTGCACTTTCTTATTCTAAAACCCTATAATTAGCTTGCAAATTTCTAATTATGGTTGTTTATGGGAACATGTGTTACTGCAGTCCTATGAATTTAATCCAGTCTTTGTTCCTTTCTTGCCCTTGGCTGTGCTGAGGACAGACAATAGTCTCTTCTGCTGGTGCCTGTGTGCCAAAGGCAGAAGGAAGCCTTTAACTTCTCAGAGGCTGAATTCAACAGGAGCAGGTTGCTGAGAGCCAGCAGGGGCCTGGAAAGTGCACCACCCTGTGTGGGGCTGCTGAGTTCTCCAGAAACTGCATTCTACTCCATCTCCTAAATACCAGTGCCAGAATACAGAAAGAAAACTCTCCAACGAAAGAGGTATTTCAGTGTCACTGCTTCATAACACATCTGGTTATTTAAATAGTCTTCAGACCAAATTAAGTGCAATCTGTTGCTGTAAGCCACTTGACACTGGAAAGAATGAGGTTGGAAAAGTACTGCAAATGGACTGTGACCTGATAGAGGCCTCTGAGGATACAGAATTGTGCACACTAAACAGATGTAATAGTAATTACATTCTGAGAGCAGATACTCTGATGTCAAAAACACAGAAGCTCTTTTCCTCACTTTGGCGTCTCTGCTCCTGGGTTAGATTACATTGATTTGGTAAAGGCAGCATGTGTCTGTGGCTAAAATATAGAGGTACGATGCTATAATCTTTGGGATAATCCTAGCCAGGACCCTAATAATGTATAATATTATAAAGTGTCCAGTGACAGTACATACAGTGTATTCTTATAGGCCTCTTTCTTACCTTTCTGTTGTATTTTTTAAGATTACATCTGTGAGGATTTTCCCTTTGTCTGAGAATATCTTTGTGCAGGAAATGCACAGAAAATACCTGATAGTCATTGGGAGACCTGGGCCCAAGACCCAGCACTCAGGGCCAGCAGAGCATCTTTCTGACGTAAACCAGCTTGAGACACAGCTTGTGTGACCATGCAGAGGGAACAAGAGGTCCCTTGTGCCAGCAGCCCACACACAGACAGCAGTACCAGGGAAAGGCAGACACTGAAATGATGATGTCTCTGCCTGGCACAGGTGGGTGGAACTGAGGGAGGTCTAATAGCCCTTCCTCTATTGCAGGGCACAACCAAGAAGGCTGTGACTGATGCAGTCCAGTTCTTCTAAGAATGCTTTTTGGGCAAAACTACAGTGCCATATCCTTTAGCAGGGAGGTGCAGCAGGACACAGGAATATCAGAGTGGCCATTCAGTCAAACTAGTTTTCCTTTTGGGAGAGGCCTATAGCAGTGTCCGGGGGAAGTCGTGTAAGCAACAACACAGATTTACTTGTCCACAGCTTCTGGCAAGGAGTAACTCTGTGCTGTAGGGTGTGCCTAGAGCACTATGGTTTATTTTACTAACCCCCTGTACACAGTCCCCTTTTGGAACCACTCATCTGTCTGATGAGCAGAATGTGCTAAGCAATGCAATTCATGTTTCAGTAATACCTAATGTGGGGAAAAAAATGGTTCCCTTTTGTTTAAAACGCATGCTTTGTATATACGATGCTTAGCCCAGGGAGTCCTGAGACATCTGGGGCCATCTGCTGATATTAAAGTGTTCCAGTACAAAGGATCAGGTATGGAATCAATAGAGTGACTCAAAAGTATCTGGAGACAAAACACCCATTTTGTCTCTCATATCATCTCATTTTGTGGTAATACTGGTTAATGTAAGACGTGCTCAGAAGCTCGTTGATGTTGATGAAGACTTTGATTCAAGGTTGTATCTACAGGCCATGAGAACTTCAGACCTTTGCAATTGCTTAATCCTGATTATTTATCACCTTATATCTTGAGATCTGGTTGTAGAGGTAGCAAGACAGAAGGTGGGCAGTTGCATGTGTAGCCTGTAGAGAGAGGATGGAGGTTTTTTTGTTTAGATCAAGTGCCTTTAGCTTTGATTCATGCCTTCCTGCTTTGATACATACACGGTAGGGCAGTGGAACAGCTGTTGTGTTTGGCTAGATATAGACAGATTATATTTCAGGAGACCTTTAATTAAAGACAACAAGTACAAATAAATTGGTTTATATTGCACAGCTTTGCTTTAATTCTCCAAGGTTCCGTGTTGAAATGTATAAACAGTGCAGTGTCAGCAATCAGGTATTTCTTTCAGAGCTTACTCCAGTTCCCCATGGCATGACAGCTGCCTGAACTCTGTGCTGCTGTGGGTGAGGAACCTCAGCTCCTGCCTGCACATCCTTTCTGGCTGGCACAGCCTGTGGCCAGGCTCATCTCTAGAAGCCACAGGAGCATGGCTGCACAGCCTCCCTCAGGAGAGTAGTGGCTGTAAGCAGTGCCTGCCCCTGGAATCTGAGCAGTGTGGCCGAGCTGCTACCATTATTATTAGCAGGTATAGCAAGTCTAGGACTGCTTTTTCCTGGGTGTGACAATGTCCTTTGGAGAGCACAACACTGTCAGCAGCGGGGCAACAGTGATGCTCTGATCTGATACCAAAAGCCTTACTCAGTTCTGAAAGAATGTTTGAGGATTTAGAATTATTATTGTTGGTTCATTTCTGCTTATTAGTGATTATGTGCTGATAATTAATGTTTCATTCTCCTTAAAGAATTAACACACAGGATGAGCTGTCAGGAGGTGCTAAAAACAGACGAAAGGGTCTCATCAAAATTTTTTTGTTTTTCTACACTAGCAAGTAGAAAGTAGTGTTTTTCTACACAGCAGCCCAGGAGGAGCAGAGCTGTGGAGTCAGACAGTTATCAATGAGGACCTGATCTTCACACTACGCAAGTTTTATGAGAGTTTGTTTCAGACCACCATTAGTCCAGATTTATGGTTTATGAGCCACCTGCAGTGGATCATTTGGGTTGGCTTTAGCCAGAAACAATCTGGTTAGCCTGCTCTGTGTGCCCAGTGCCATGGACCACAGCACAGTAGGTAGGGACAGTCAGGAGTTTCATGCTCCTCATTTGAACTGACACTAACTTAGCCATGCCAAATGTAGAATTACGACAAGGCAAACATGAGTGCATAGTTGTTGCTGCATGCTGAGACCAAAGGATCATTTAAGGTTCAGTGTACAGCATTTCTAAGAAAAATGAGCACCAGAAGCAGTGCAGCAGTCGTGCACCCTGATCACCTCCCGGCTCTGCTTCTGTACCTGCTGCTGCATGCACAATGCAGGAGCTCACAGTCAGTCTCCAAGCAGCTGGCTGCAGGTAAGCAGGGCACTACTTCTACCCCTGTAAGAGTACTAGATAGCATGGAGTAAGAATAGATTGCTCTTAGCTTGGTATCTGAATATCCCTCTACCATCAGATCCTGCTGTGAGCCCAGTGTAACTTCCAGAAGTGGTACTGGGAGAGTGATACAGTTCAAGAGTTGGGATTATGTTTTATTGTGGAATTATAAATGATAGGTAAGTTGAGGCAAAACAGCTGTCACAAGCACTGCCACAGGCTGGCCTCCATAACATGCAGGGCTTTGACCAAAAGTCAGATCTGTCTCCTTGGCTGCATGAGAGTGGTGTCTGCCAGCTGGAAGTTGTTAATGAAGGACACAGCACAATCACAGATTACTGTGATACTGTGAACACCCATCAGTGATTTCCCTGGCTTAGTACATTGCTGCAGGGAAGGTACTTACTGCTGATTCTCCTTAAGAAAGAGTGAGCATGCTACTGACACTGTGCTGTAACAAAGAGCTTTGTGGCAGTGTGTCAGAAGATCCTGTGTCTCCCAGCAGTCCATCAAACATCACATCAATGCGGTCAATACTGAAGGTGTCAAACAGAACATAAGTGCAAATAAAATGAATACAGAGCTGCAGCATGAAATTCATGAACTCATCTCAGTCTTCAGTACCGTACAGTGGCTTGAACTATATAAAAAAAACCATGGCTGACTCTTTTCCAAACAAGAATTATTTCTGCTAATTGTGGTGACCCCTTGCTAGAGATCCTACATCTTCTAGACAGCTAAGGTTATGCTAAGTATGTCTAGCCTTGATTTTTACTTCATACACACAATCACATTACTTCACAAGGACATATGGCTGAAAAACACTAAGCTGATTGTCAGAAGGCTTTAAACTCTCCCTCACTGACCTAAACTTGGAATAGCCTGTCCCAAACTGGATGCTGTATTTGGAATCCCTGACTTTTTGATTAAAAGTGAGCTGCTTTCTGTCCCTAGGAGGGTTGCTGGCAGCAATGTTATCAAAGGATAGAAACTGCAGCCTGTGCTACTAAGGAAGCCTTGCCTTCAATCTTACATAGCCCAGAGGGGAGAGTGGAAGAGTCAGAATCCCAGTCTCAGAGAGCGCTTAGGGGGTTGATCTTGATCTTTGTTTTATGCTGCCTTCCTCCATCTCTGGAAGAAGCTGCACATTTCTAGTCTAGGATAGATTTCATGTACTGGAATTCTTCCCAGAGTTGGCACAGCTTCAAAGGGTTTGAATCTTGGCTGTAGAACCCACATGCTGTTGCAAAGATCCTCAGGGAAAAATAGCTGGAAACGGACAAAAGAACAACAAAGCTACAGGGTCTTCCAGGAGACTATAACCCACTGAGATGATTCCCCAAAAGCTGGTCATCCAAGCAAATCCCTCTCTCTGTTCCCCGTCTCCTGTAGGTTACCACAAAGCATCCTAGCCCTTGGGTTCTCTGCAGGACACTTGACTTTCACAGAGTGCCCTGCTGTTCCCTTTGCTGGTGAGAGCTCTCCCTCTGATGCTGAGTTAGGACCTTAGCAGTGTTTCCTTAGTGGCATTTTCCTGTCTCTTCAAGGTCTCAGAAGAGACCTTGACACATCCACCTGTGTATCTACACAGCAGGTTGATAAATTTCTATCTACTCTGCAGGTGCAAAGTTCTGGGGGTTCTGCCTGCATAAAAGAGAAAGTACCCAAGAAACTTGAACATGCATAAACTGGTGGTTATGAAACATGATTGGTCTTTAATCTCAAAAAGCTTGGGTCTGTTTCTACTTGGGTTGGATTGTGAACTGTCAGCAAAAAAGCGGATCAAGAGCAGTGCTGAGGTTACCTGTGAAGTTTGTTGTAGCACTGAGGAAGGCTATTAGTGGGAAATGGAAGTTCAGTTCCAAATCAGATAGTAGCTTTAGCTCACAAGCCTGATCCTGCAAGCCTCACTCATTTAAGTGGCTGTCTTGCTTTCAGCAAGATTGGTGAAGCCAGCAGCTCTCAGTAGCTTGAGCCAAAAGTTTTTACAGATAACTACATCCAGGCTGGAGGGGAGAGGGAGAAGACAGACAAAGCAAAACTAATTGATTTTCCACAAGAACGCAGTAATAAAAATGAGATAGTAAATGAGCCTTGTCCTTAAGGTTCCTGAATAGCTACTGAGTTAAAGGAAAGGCTACCATGTTTGGTAATAAATGGTGTCACAGACTGCAGGCATCAGCAGCGGTTACTACGGACACAGCTTCCAAGACAGACACAGGCAGGAAAAGAGAGATGGAAAAAAGAAAAAACAGTAGAATTAAAAAAGGGTTAACTGGGCTTTTGAAAGATCAGTATCTAAAAACCTTATTCAGCATAGAGTTAGAAATCCTTGGTGTTCCGAAATTCTGGCATGCTCCAAATCCTCCTGTTGGGCTGAGTGCCCCGTTCCACATCCTCAGAGATGGTCTTGATGTCACTGATGAATGGAGAAATCCTGGACCGAGATTTAAATGTTGTTAAGGAGAGGCTGGTTCTGTTCTTTGTGTTCCATTGCCTTGCAAGCTTCTTGGCCTCTTCCTCCTCTTTGATCTTCTCAGCAGCTTCCTGCAGGACAGAGCGGAAGAGCCGGGATACTTCCTGCGCTTCTGGTTCGTACTCCGCAACCACTTGCCTGAACCTGGAAGCACAGTCAAGGCACAGCTTTGATTAAAAACATCCAACTCCTGATTGCTGCCAAATCGCTGTGCTAGGCTTGGAACTTGCACTTTCCTGCTAAATGAGACTCCCTGGACAGAAGGGAACAACAACAAGGAGGGGCCATGAAGATATGCCTGAGGTCTCTAAAATCACAAGCAAGCCAGGGAGTGTAAGGAAGAGATGAATCACTGCTTCTTATAAGCGCTAGAAATAATAGGGAGAACCAAACAAAGCTAGAAGGCAAGTTTGAAACAGAAGGGAAGTGTTTTTTTCACACAACACCTGTTAAACCAGAACTCAATGCTATCAATAGTTTAAGAAACAAAATTATTGGACAAGTTTGTAGAAAATGTCCCCATCACTGCTGATGAAACGTGATTGTCCAAATGCACATCATTGCTCGAAGTAGTCCCTGAACTGCAGCTTACCAGAAGCTCAAGGTAGACCAGGGAAAGTCCCACATGACTTCCCCTGTTTTCCATTCTTGTTCCTGATAGCATTACCCAATAGCCTCTAGACAAAGGAAAATCCAGTCACTTTGTTTGGTAGTCTTTCAATATTTAACTTTCCATGGTGCTTCATCTTCCTATGAATTTCTGTAACATAATGGACTGCCTCGGCTGAAAACATCTTGGTTGACAGCACAGTGCTATATCTAAGTAGATAACTGAATTACTTCAGTGCCTTCTCAGCAAAGAGCTCACAATAGAGTTTTTTTTTAATTTTATTAACCTAGCTTAATACCAAGGAAGTGAAGAATCACCACTGTTTATTTTGCAGGTGAGGAGGATAAGATGCAGAGCAGAAGTTTTTTTGAAGCCACTGAATGGGCCACAGGCTGGGCAATGAAGAGATCATGCCATTCCTGACCTTGTTGGGTGAATTGTCCCAAGCCTGGAGTGTATGGGAGCCACTCCCTTTGGTCACGTAGATATTCTGATTGTTCTGTAATATACACATTTGTGACAGATGCTGATATGGCTACTCTTCTAATAAATAATCAGTCCTAAGGTGAAATTATACCTACAAGCAAACACAGAGCTAAACTAGTACTTCACTAAAATCCAGGTATTTGTACTGCAGGGAAGCTAAAGTGTATAAGGTAAGCATTTTGGTATTTTCCTCCAGCAGAACTGAACAAGGATAGAAAACAGTAGGACTGTATTTAAATGAGCCAAATACAGCAGAAGCTGATAGAATAAGATATTGCCTCTTGGGTTTTTGCAAAGCCCCAGGAATGTAAGAAGGAGTTTAGCACATATGGAATTGCATTGCTAAATGGTGTGCCAAAGGATACCCAAGATAATAAGGAAAGAAAGCAAGCCGGAGAGAAACCAGAAAGACTTTCTGTATGTTTATGTATTTTGACTCTGACTGTGGAGGCCTGAAATTGGCCATACATCTTGACACCCTGCTGTGTCCCAGATATTTCTCTCCCAGCAAGTACTGGCAGCTGTGGAGACACCAGTGTTGCTTGCTGAGGGAACTTGGTGTCAGCAGAAGCACTGGTCCCTTCCAGTGTCAAGACAGAGCAGTTTGACACAAAACCTTCTAAAGTCACCAAAAGGTTCCTTAACTGTTTCAGCTACTTTGGATGAATTCTTAATCTCCCTCCTCTGCCCCCTCACCAAAAACCTCAACACTTTGAACATTTGGGTGAGGGAGTTCATGCTGGTTATTTAAGTACTGACACAGTGATGCCAAACTGAATTGTGCAGAGCCTGGAAGGGAAAGAGATGATCTCTTGCTGAGGGTTAGCAAACAACAGCAGGAACTGGGATTTGTTGGACATTGCAAACTTCCTTTCTGCCTTCTGAGGAGGCACTTCAGTTGCATTATCAAAGAGCCCAAAATACAACTTTCACAATAAGTACATTTTTCCCTTTATCCAATTTGAACCACAGACAGGCGAGTCCATAGAAACTCAAGTCTTCACAACATTGTTATTATCCCAGGGAAAGCAGCTTCAAAGGATTTCTATTGCAGAGGTGAACCGAGTCATTCTGTTATTTTATCTCAATGTGTGTTTTATTGAAGAGAGGTGCTATCATATATCTATCTATCTATCTATCTATCTATCTATATATATATATATATATATATAAAATTACATCATATATATATATATAAAATTACATCCTCTTTTGTATTGGCAATTGTGCACCCAAAAAGCCTGACCACTGCCTCCACTTTCAGAGGCTGTGTGTCATCCTGCTGGATTGTGGCTCCAGAGCAGGGAGCAGCATGCATCAGGCTATTACTGGGCCAGTGCCTGGCTCTGGGTATTAGAGGGGAAATGGGTAAAATGACAGCAAATACACCCCTGAGCAGAGAACTCTAATGCTAATTCCCTGGTTGCTGATAACACTCCCAACCAATCCAGCTGACATAGTTTTCTGGAATCAGGGTAACTTTCCACCTGCACAGCTATCTGGCTGTTTGCACTCTCCATAGCTTAGTTTTGTCAACTCTGCTGTTAAGATTTACCTCTAACTTTTCAGGACCAACACCAAAACTACTTTGTTAGGACTTGTGCAGGTCTAAGAAACAAAGAGAAAGCAATTCAAAAGACTGTCTGCCAGTCACACAATAGAAAGTCACCCTGATTCTGATGGAAAGGGGATCCTTTTCTCTCCCCTAACAGGATGAACTTCACCCCTTTATTAATGCCCACCTAACTTCAGTATCAGCACAATTGTGTAAGGGACAGCTCATGTAGGAAGTCCTAAAGGAGTGCACATCACAAATATTTCTCAACAGAAAAGATGGACAGGTTATCAGGGCTGAGCTCCAGCTAAAGCAGTCTGTGTATCAGAAAAAAAAAAAGATGTTTTTGCTGCAGACACCTACACATCACCAAAGCCATCTTCCTCAGGTATCAGTGAATACCAGTTGATGTGCTGGATGCTCCAGCAGTCTGCTCTCTGCTCAGAACACCCAGTATATAAAACCAGAAAACCACTGGAATCAAGGACTATGGCCTTGTATCTTGGGAAACAAACTCCACACAAAGCTGCTCAGTGGGGTTAAGAACACAAAATTGCACAAGGCGCATCTGTCTTCCAGCACAGCTTACCCTTACTCTTTTGCATGGGATAGTTTCAAACTAGGCAACTGCACAACCACGTCCAGAAACACCTCAACAGGATTTCCTTACTCATCACAAAAGCAGACCTCTCTGTCTTATTTGTGGCCCAAGCTATGGAAGCGCTGGTGGCACTCCTGGAATACATCATGCACGTCACATAGTCTGAGACGTGACAAAACCTCACCTTGAACCAGATCTGGGGAGGATGGATAGGCATGCACAGGGATGAGCACATTCCCCAGTCCAAGCTGTGTTTGAATCACAGTTCAAACAAATTTGTTCTTTAAGTTGTGACCCTTTCATTGCTTTTTAGGGCAGATTTCAAGAATCCTGCTGTGCTTGGCTCATACTGGCACTGCTTTTTAAAGCACTATCACCTTTCTGTGTTATTCTGTAGGTCCCCTGTACAGTGGGTTCCCTGAGTACAGCCTGAACTTTAAAGACCTGTTAAATCCAATGAAAGTCCATGGATTTAAACAATGTGCCTATAGTTCAGGGTATTCCTGAATGCACGTCTGAATGGGGAGCTCTAAGTAGATTTAGTCATTCAAAGAAAACATGGGGTTGCTTAGTGCTAATAATTACCTGCTGACTCCTGAATCTATATTTTGAGCAGGAATTCTGGTTATAGGGTAAAACTAGGAACAGCTTTGCTAGAGAAAGCTTCTTGGCTCCCAAAGAATTACAGCATTCACACTAATTGCAACACTCATGTCATATCACCTCCAACATAAGCTTGTAATTGTAAATAAATCCATTTCTGATTTTAGTCATGTCTTACATTAAGTCTTACTAAGAAGGACACTTCAGCTATACACAAGCCTTATAAAATTAGTCCTTAGCCTGTGATATTGGTAACAACTCAGATCATCAAAATGCAGGTTTACATTTCCATACTAGGGAGTTTTTTGTTTCCCTCTGGGCACAGGAGGACAGAAACCAGCTGTTTCACTTCCGTTGAAACAGAAAGAAATTGAACAGACTTTAACTAGCTCTGACTAGGGTTAAAGCTCTGAGTAAGGATGGGAAAAATCTAGCACTTTTTATTGGCAACATACCATTCTACTTGTTCAGTTTAACCACAGCAGTTAGGTACTACAGACCTCACCAAACTCACTGTTATTAATTTCCTTCAGCTGGCTCCAGGATTTAATTTTAATTTTAGCAGCAATCTCTAACCCAGTAACCTAAAGCTAAGTTACTCCTGAATGCAAAGGCTTTATTTGCATGAGGTGAATCAGAGTCTCCAGATATCTGATGCTATTTGCAGCGTATTTGAATCCTTCCAGAAATCCAAGAGCCTCAAAGAGAAGTTTCTATTGACCCAAAATACAAAATAGGCAATCTGGATCTGAGAAAAAACCTCTTTAATTTGTGAAGTTCTCCTTTCCAGCCTTCTCCACATCTAAAGAAACAAATTTGGAGAAACTTTGTCTCTCAGTAAATGAGCCCATAACCACAGAAAAGGACAGTTTGGATAATCATTTAGACCTTTAGAGAACAAACTGACATCTCTGACAACTCATATAAAAATGTTTTTTTCTGGCTTTGACTCTGAACTCGGAGTCTCACGAAGAAGGAGACCTTGCATGACACAAACAAAACAAACTCTGCAAGATGCCTGCTACTTGTGTTATTTAAAAATTATGTGCTTGTCGAGTACAAAAAGGACTTCAAAAAGGACCTCAGCTCTTCAAATATCTAAAATGGAAGGCAAAATATCAAGCTTACTATTTTAGTCAGAACCAAAGACTTTGGTAGGGTGCATGCTCTGCATTTGAATTTCCCAATGCAAGCCCACAGACTATTTCAGTGGAAGATTTTTCTAAAAGCTGCTATGTATTAGGAAGTCGCAGAGTACTTGAGAGAAAACATCAGCACTGCAATGATCTTATTATTCAAGTACTTCACTGGAAATTTGGAGGTTACATTGCATTCCTATTATACTCCTCTTGTGGAATTTTGGGGAAGTTACTAAAATCTCCATTTTATCTCACTTTCTGAAAAGAGAATTTATCCAATTTTGGCTTTTATTTAAATTGCAGGCTCTTTCTTTTTTCTTTTTGTTTCTCCTGTATATTTTCACCTCCTAACATGTCAAGCCCAATTCTTTTTCTCCGTTTCCTCATCAGCAATGAAAATTCCATGGAATGTCAGAGCTGTCAGTTTGAAGGCAGAAAAAAAGAGGGGCCAACTCCTAACATTTCCAACACAAAGTGAAAGAATTATCAAATAAAACTGGGATGCATTAGCTTAAGACAAGGTAAACACAGTTTTTTTGTAACAGATGTAGTTCAGGAGCGGAACTCTGCCACAGGGCACCAAAATGCTATAAATTTACATGTGCTCAAAAAGAGAAAGGCCTCCACAACCTAAACAACCTAAAAGCCACATCATGCCAAGAAAAAGCCAATTATGGACAAAAGGTCCACTTGTGGCTCCAAAAGTCTCCCAGTAACAAGGCACAGTAAGTTGGATGCTATATATGAAGTGTAATTGTCCCTCCCATTGGATTTGCTTCCTTGTCCTTTGCTCTTTTCCTTACACCAATGCCACTGGCCTTTCTGTCACATACAGACTGCTCATCAGAGCAGCCAGACCTTTGACACAATCCAGTTCCACCATTTTTGTGGCTGTGACAGTCCCTTCTCAGTCACAGAACTGAACAAACAAAGGTTATGAAAATCCTCAGGGTGCTTTTTTAGTGTGGCTCTGCTCACCATACAAGCTCTGTAAAACATGCCACTTCTCGAATCATCGGGGAATACAATTAATGACAGCAGCCTATTTGTAAGAGGAGTTTTAAGAGGATGGTTTTAGCCTTTTTCAATCATGCCCACACAGAGTCCGTTAACGCTGTTGAGTACATTTATCTACTGCCATCAGTATGATGGATCCTGAACAACAGTGAACAACCATTACAAGCTGCACTGAAATCATACCTCTTGCATTATCTGTCTCAATTAGAAAATAATAGCAGAGCAGCAAGTTGTATATGGCTCAGCCTAATACTTTCCTGAAGAGGATGAACCTTGGGGCCTCTCTGCTCCAGCTGCCAAAGCCTGCTGTCATGGAAATAACCTGTTAGCCAGACAGGCCTTGCTCAGGGGCTCTGGGGATGGTAAAGATAGCTCTGAATCCCAAGGGTTTGAAGTGGCTTGTTTACAGCATAGCTTGGAGTTACACAACTACAAGGCAGGTGCTGTTCCCAGCAAATTTTCACTGGAGAGGTCTTGGTCACTGAATGATCCCAAATTCTGCCATCATGGCAACCTTTGCAAGAGCCAAGGCTCTATGTGCCAGGTTGCTTCCAAGGTTCAGCCCCAGGAAGATGAGGGCTGGAGAGGTAATTTTGGCATTCTTTCCTGTCTACATCCACTGTAAGACAGAGGACCAGATATTTCCAGCACTTTTACAGTTGCAGTTCAGAGGCCATAGATTCATTTGTTCAAGGGAAAACAGGAGCCAGCATATGCAGTGAGGGACTACAGGGTGCCAAGAGCCCTCTTTGTACATCCTGTAAGGACTGTGTTCACTCTAATCCCAGCTGAAGAACACGTTGGAACAGGGGAAGTTGATTATAAAGGCCCATTTCACAACTTTGCTTTGGCTAAGATGCACTGCAGAGTCACTCTTCCTCACTTTGCCAAGTTTGCCTTCACTGTGCCAAGTGCAAGAGTTTATCTTCGAACAGCCACCCCAAAAGGAAAGGAGCCACACCCTTCCCTTCCAGTCTGGATGCTACAGCAGGCTTAGGTCCATTTCTAAAGGCATCTTCACAGGAGGTCACTCAGCTGGCAGGCAGCAATTCTAAGTGCTACAGCATTTGAAAGGCTCAACAGCAAGAGGAGCTGTGTGTACATCTACACTGAAGAAGTCAGAAGCGCCACTTGGCTGTTCAAACTAACACATCCTCAGCTGCATCCCATGATGCATAGAGTCTAGGATGAAGAGGGAGGGTAGGGAAGGGAGACATTCTCTAGGAACACCTGGCTCACAGGCTGAAAAAAATAATAGCACTTTTAGGCTAGTTTGGACACTGGGGACAAGTGCCTCAATAGACCTGCTGGACAGCTTAAATCCAGGAATGAAGGCTCCAGTGACATGGGGAAAAACCAAAGGAGGTTGTTCAGAGGCTGTGGAACCTCTGCCCTCAGAGATATTCAACACTGGACAAGCCCTAAGCAACATGATCTAACTTTGAAGGTGGCCCTACTCCAAGTAGGAGGTAGAAGTACATCCCTTTAGAGGTCCCTTTAAACCTCAGTTTCTCTAAGATTCTAAAGTCTGAAGAAAAAAAAAAAAAAAAGCCATCACAATGCTGAGATGGTACCTGCTCATCAGGCACGGTAAAGCTGCTCTGGCTACACAGGAGCATAAAGTACTCAAGCCAATGTCAGAGGGAAATGGCATTCTGTAGCTTCTGTTGTGTTAAACTGACTTAAAGCATTAGATTTCCCTTCTTTGATGAAAACACTATCATGAGTGTGACTCACGACACAGGATGCCAAGTTCTGATTCTGTTGTGAGCAACTCACTGTCTCCTCACACATCATAAAGAGGAAAGGGGGAAAGGAAAGCTCTTTATCATCCCATCTTTTACTGTACCTGAGTATGACAGGCCCACAGTAGGAAGGATGTATTTTGGTGCACATGTCCTCCAGCTGCAGCCGTTCCCCGGGGCTGATGTCGTAGCCCTGCTTTGGGTAGCTGACCAGCCAGCCGTAGTCCACGCCCGTCTTCATCTTGCGGTATTCGTTCTCCCGCTCCCGCTGCTGCTTCTCTGCCTGCTTGATCTGCCAGTTCAGCTCCATCATGAGCGTTTCAACCACCATTTCTGTGGGGTTCCTCTGGGAAATGCGGTTTGGGGGCTCATTCCACCTGAACCAGGATGCCAATGACATAATGCTCCGTGTGTCTTTGCTGGGAGTGGGTTAAGGGTAGAGAGGGAGAGAAAAAGAATAGAGCCATCATCAACACACCTCAGCTGAGAACATTCCTCCCCCCAGACCCCTCCAGTCTGCTGTTAAAATTGCTACTGGATAACCACTTGGAAATAACTGGTGCTGGGTACCTTGAGAAATCTCACTTGGAGCAGCCAGCTTGCTCAGAGGGTGAGGCAGAAGGTGAAGAGGCACCATCTCCCTCAGCTTCCGCTCAGCACGTAATTAAAATGAGTCACGGTCCTTAACCTGAAGGCAGGTTACAAGGATGCCTTGCTTCCTCCAGGCTGGGCTGGGGAAGCAGTCTCCTGCCCACACACGGGCTTGGGCTCACCTGGCTGAACCCTCATGGGAGGGCATGACCTTGCAGCAACACTACCTGTAAAAACTCAACATGTGGAGTCAAAGGATTATTTGGGAGCTACATTCGAGCCAGGAGAACCTTAGAGAGGAGGCAGGATTAAGTGATTTGGCACAGTGGGTTGAAGCTGATGTCCACCAAGTGCCCACCAAAGCTGCTCTATCACTCCCTTCCCCAGCTGAACAGGAGAGAGAAAATGTATTAAAAGGCTCATGGTTTGAGGTAAGGACAGAGACATCACTCAGCAATTACTGTCAGGTGCAAAACAACTCAACTTGGGTATATTAGTTTATTACTCATCAAATCACAGTTAGATAATGAGAAATAAAACCAAATCTTTAAACACCTTGCCCCACTCTTTTCTTCTTTCTGGGTTGTGCTCTACTCCCAAATCCTCTACCTCCTCTGACCCTGAAGTACAGGGAGATAGGGAATGGGCATTGTGGTCATTTCACTACACGTTGTTTCTGCAGCTTCTTCCTCCCCTGGGACAGGACTCCTCACATCCTTCCTTTGCTCCAGTGTGGGGTCCCTCCCATGGGCACAGTCCTCCATGAACTTTTCCAGTGTCAGTCCTTCCCATGGGCTGCAGTTCCTCATGAACTGCTCCAGCCTGGGTCTCTCACAGGGAGTGCAGCCCTTCAGGAGGAGGATGCCCAGTGTGGGCTCCCCGTGGTGTCACCAGTCCTGCCAGCAAACCTGCTCCAGCATGGGCTCCTCTCTCCAGGAGGTCCTGCATCCTGGAGCCTCTTCCATTGTGGTCTTCCCATGGGGTCACAACCTCCTTTGGGCATCCAGCTGCTCTGGCATGGGATTCCCCACGGGCTGCAGGTGAATCTCTGCATCCCCTTGAACCTCCATGGGCTGCTGGGGCACAGCTCCCTCAGCATGGCCTTCACCATGGGCTGCAGGGGATCTCTGCTCCATTGTCTGAGGAACTTCCTGCCCCTCTTTCTGCTCTGACCTTGGAGTATTTAGTGGTGTTGCTCTCCCACATCCTCACTTCTGTCTCCCAGCAGTTTTGTTCTGTTATTTTTTTCCCTTCTTAGACCTGTTATCCCAAAGGTGCTACCAGCTGGACTGCTGGGCTCAGCCTTGGCCAGCAGTGGGTCCTTGCTGGAGCCATCTGGCATTTCTTTTGTCAGACATGGGGGAGGTTTCTGGCAGTGTTGCACAGGAGCCACTGCTGTAGCCCCCATCACTTGCCACACAAACCAAATACACCTGGGTAAGTTTGCTGCTGCTGCTGCTGTAATATCAGCAGCTGGGCTCACCCTTGCCTTGGCAGCACTCACAGAAGCCTGAGCTACAGAGCCAGACAGATCTTTAACCATTATTTAGCAAATGTGTTCCTGCATGCAGCAGAAGCCACAAGCTGAAATCCCATTGTTTGCTTTGCTGCCAGAGCACTTCTTCAGCACCACCCCCAGTGCCAAGGGAACTCAGACTGCTCTGAAGGGAAGCAGAAACATACCAAGGTTTAAACTATTATTACTTCTAAGTGAGAGGTTTCTACTGCTGGGGAGTTACCCAGCACTTAGAGGACAGAACAAATTGCATCAATCAGCTCAGAAAAAGATGGAATTAACTCCCCACCCAGCCAATCCCTTAATGTTGTCCCTTCAGGAGGACAATGCGTGGAACAAAGTTATTACCTATTGTACTTGTATTTAAACACAATGGAATGCAAAACAGGCACTAGGGAGCTGAACAGGAGAAAAACAGCATATGTTTCTTCACACAGTGCACTTACGTGCCTTGTTGCTCCCTTCCATGAGCCCCTGGGGAGCAGGGGTGGCACAAATAATGATTGCAGCTGGGATTACAGCAAGGTTACTCCTGGCAGCAGCCCAATCAGGACATGGCGTCAAAAGTTAACATGAGGGCAAAGGATTAAAGAGTCTGATTCTGCAGGCCTGAGCAAATCCTCACTACTGGGACACAGACAGACATGAAATGGAGGAAAATATGCTTTTCATTCAAGCTTCCACCTTGGGGGCCTAGGGCCTTTAGTGACAATAAAAATCACCAAAAACTCATAACTACACAGTACTCCCACTAGAGCTGAGAGCCACGAGCTCCCAGACTCCCTGGATGAGAAATGAGCAATAGAATTCTGCCATGACTGCAAGGAAAAGATGCTTCCACGCATCACTCACTCATCCTAAAGTAGCCTGTTATCTTTCAAAAATGTTCATACTATGTAAATATATCACACCATTAAAGGAAAATGCTCCAAAAACCTGGATAATCTGTACAGTGTCTCACAGCTGAAATTATTTCAGGCTCTAATGCTTAGAGTTTTCTAGAATCAGGAAGTTTTCCAAACTGCATCAAAGGACTAGTTTCTCTAGTCCTATATCCTACCTCTCCCAGCAAGCAATACCAGTTTCTTCAGAAGGCAGACATAAAAGGGCTGAAAGCTTCCACAGGTCACCGATGCAGCTACCTCTGAGTGTGAGGCCGCAGGTGTTCTCTGGCTCCTGCAAACAGGAGCACCTGGGCTGCTTTGCAGTGCTTGTACAGGAGAGATGGCTGCAGGCACTGCCCGTGCCCGGAGCATCCGCTGTGCTTATCCTTGTGACAGCAGTCACAGCCAGCAGCTGCTGCAAGTACCCTGCCGGAGCTCACCTTAGGTCAGGGGTGGCTCTGTGTGGTGGAAAAAATCTCTCCTCCAACCCGTGCTTCCAAAGAAAGGCTCGGTATTCTTCTGTTGTCTGGTCTCAAGGTAGTTGATTGCAAGTTATCCATAAGATTTCCTTCTTGAGCTGCTGTGGTTTGCTCAGCAGCTGAGGCAGAGGCACACACACACCCTGACATCCTCTCTGACTCCTGACTTCTTCTTCTCTCTCCCCACCCAGGGCTGGTGCTGTCTTTTATATGGTACATTACGTGTTAAATGTTTATAGTTTTTCTCTAATGCCTATTACCTATATTAAATGATGCTTTTCTACTCTAAACCAATATGTGAGTCCCAACATCACCAAGAACATGGAGGTAAGGAAGAAGAGAGAGGGAGGACAGGGCAGGCCCAAATCTCTCCATCTTAAAACTTCTGACCCCCATGTACAAGACTTAAAACCCCCCTGTACAGCACTCAAAAATTCTTCCCTTTACTTTGTGACTACTTCTACTATAATATCTAAACTTTTGTGACTTCCTGTTCTTCCTGCAAGGTTGGTAAATAATTCCATGGTTCAAATCCAAAATCACAGCTGTTTCCAGCTGCCTGCCAGGGTCTCAAATGCTTCTGACCTGGACCCGGAACATGCAAAAATGTCTGAGGGACATTTGGAGTTCCAACAAGTCCTTCCCTTGGCGTGCACTGCCAGGGTGACCCCAGGCAGCAGCTCCCACTCCAGCAGGCAGAGCTCTGGCATCTCCGCTGGCCGAGCCAGAGGAACAGACTGGTGCTGGAAGCCAGGCACTGACAGCTGCTCATGATCCTGCCACTCCAACAGGCACCTGCATCTTGCTACAGGATGGCCTCCACTCACCAGCACACATCATTAAGGATGAAGATCTTTTCCTCGGTCTGATCACCCCTTGTGTATCCCTAACAAAAGTGAGGGGCGAAACAGGCCACCAGCTGTTGTAAATAATTTAAAGTCTCCTATTTATTTTCAGCTTCTGTGATGACAGTAGTTTTTATAAGCTGCTACAGGTACCATTATTATTTCTATTTGTGCCTTTATCTGATGAAGGTGAACATGCCCTTCTGTATTTTAATTCTGTTTATGACCTGGTTTCACACTGGTTTAACTCTGCTGACTTCAGTGGCATTAGGGGTAAATCAGTATAAAGCATTATGACTGTGAGGCTGAGGAATGCCCTTCCAGCTATTCCTAGATCACCAGCTGTTTGTTAGAAGAGGAGCAAGGGAATTTAGTGGTCAGACTGGGAAAGAGAGCAAAGAGACTTGGATTTTGCACTATCCTGGGCTGTTCTTACTGCATTTATGGTTTTTAGTTCCACAAGTCTCCCTCAAAGCAAAGCATTCTGCATAAGAACCATTTCACCAAGCACTAGTTTTACAAAGGATAAACAGAAATATATTTTGGATACCTTGTCTGCTGATGCCAAGGCCTGCTGAACCTGAGCTTTGCCCAGTCCCAGAGCTTTCAGAAAGTTCTGGTAAAGGCAGAATTGCTTTTGGTGTGGGAACACGGATACCTCTGACCCCAAATGGGGCTTTCACTTGACTGCCATAACAAGAATCTGCTTCCAGACGAGAAGACCATAAAGGACAGAAAGCACCTCACCTACAGTAGAAATGGCCAGTTTTCAAATGAAAGAATATCCCATGCAAGTGTTTCATGCACACTGGCAGCTTGTGCTGGCTGTTCCTAAGGGAGTCCTGTTTGTATGAGATTGTTTCCTTCCCCTTCTCTCATCCATCATCTCCTCTTTTTGAGAGCTGGCAACTGGCCATCTCTATTTGGCAGGCTCAACAAGCCACCACTCTTCCCACTACTGCTCTTAGCAGCCTGCAGAAGATACTGTGGGCTCCATTAACTGTGGATGCTGGTTCTAATTTAAAGTTCACAGGCTTTCCCATGTGGAAAAACTCAAAGGACTGTTGGCAAGATGTGGACAACTAAAGAAAGGCAAAAGTTACA